TTACTTGATGCGTAGTAGTGTGTACATATATAGTCCGTGTTTACATTACTTCATATTTTTTTTTTCACACCAAAAGAAAAACTTACAAATATCATATAATTGTGAAATTATATATTTACTATTGTTTAAAAACAAAAAGAGTAAAAATAAATTGGTTTGGAAAAAAAGTAACAAAATTACATTATTAATATTAGAAACATCAGTTTACTCTCATGAGATATAATATTTTTCAAGAACCATAATATTACATTTTAAGACCTATTTTTGTGTTGATCTTATACGGGTCACGGTGACACATGTGACATTATTGATATTCTATTCAATCAAGTATGCACATGTAATAAATCATATATGTGCAGAACAACATGTGCAAAACAGCAGATAAAGAAAATCCATGAGCAGAACATAGAACATAAGAAAGAAACTGGTAGAAGGTAAGAGATAAAGAAGAAAGCACACGAGGACCATTAGAAAGTTAGGAAAGATAAGAAATATTTGAAGGATAATATACTTTTTACGACATTTTTTTTATAACATTTTAACATTTTTTTATAACATTTTACGTGTCATTCTGTGATTGGTCTAAAATTATTTCATAATCAATAATAATAATCATAAATACTAACATGGACTAATTACAGAGTGATACGTAAATGTTGTTAAAATATTGTAAAAAAGATGTTATCAAAATATCATCATTCATATTTGAATATGTTCTAAGAACAATTGTAGGTAACTTAGGGTCATGTTTAACAGTTTTACTTTAAGCAATTTTAATGGAAAAATAAATTTTGTATGTATTTTAATTTTTTTAATATTCATTCGATATTATTTTTTACTTTTTTAATTTTTTTAAAATATATTAAAAATTACACTTTTATAATTATTTTATTTAATATATTGTGTGAAATGAATATAAAAATATATAATGATACTTTTATTTATGGAATGAAATGAAAAAGTATAAATGAGTGGAAGTTAAAGATAACACAAATGATATTTTAGTTTAATTATATAAAAATTGATATAATTTTTTATCCAAAATATTAAAGTAATAAGTCAACGAATATTTACCTAATATTTAATTTTTTCATTTTATTAATTGGACTTATAATTAAAATTCTTATGTTTAACAGTTTTACTTTAGAATTCTCATGTTTAACAGTTTTACTTTAAGCATTTTTGATTGAAATGAAACGAAGAAGTATAACTGAGTGGAAGAAGTTAAAGACGAAGGAGAGTCCCAAGTTGTGAGGCTGTCGAACCTGAAAGGCTTATTTTGACGTCATGTAGCTCTCTAAGTCGATAGTTTAAAAGAGGACAGCATGTGAATGAGATAAATCTCATTTCCTTAAGTTTGTTTGTATCTGATAATAGTGACAAAATAAAATAAACTAAACACCTTGTCCTGTTTTGGCAAACTCTTACCCCCAGATTCCGTTAACGGGTTTTCAACTTCTTAAAACAGGACACGAGGGTCTGGTTCTAGATTTGTTTGGACTTTCTGCACATCAGAGCTACTGCTTCTGCCTTTTTCGGACTTTCTACACATCACAGTTTTTTTTTTTATTTATTTATTTTAATCATTAAACAAAACATGGATTCTGATTAGAGGATACTGTGCATTGTATGAAAATGTAGGATTGGTGATGTAAAAAAAAAAAGATGCAGTTAATTTTTGAGCAGAATAAGTTGTGTGGTGGTGGTGGTGGTAGAAGAAGAAGAAGAAGGAAAGCAATGCAGGGTTTGAGAAATCATTTTCAGAAGCATATATTAATTGATTGGTGGTGGTGGTTGTAGCTTGCGATCTAAGCTGTGTAGATTGAAGCGGAGAAGAGACGGCTCTAGAAATAATTGAAACTTGTTGAAATGAAATGCTAGCGTTGAATTCCCCATGCCTCTCTATTCAGCCAATTGGGTGCACATTGAATATGAATTTTGGCTTAAAAGCAGATTCCCCTTTATCCTCACGTTCCAAATTCCCGGCTAATGTCATCTCTGATTCTAATTCCACTGATTTTTTTATCCCTTTTTCCCTCCCTACTAATACCAATGCCTCACTCCCTCTTTCCTTCAGATCAATCTTCTCTTCTCTTCTCTTCTCTTGTGCGTTTCTCTCTTCTCTTCTTCTTCTTCTCATTTCTATTTTCTTTCTCAATAATCGATTCTTCCTTACTCTTCCTGCAGATATCTTCCTTCTTTGTCAATTCCTTGATCCAACAATCTTAACATGGGCTACTTGAAGGTTCCTTCTATGCTATACCATTCTCTTTCTCTCTAGCTTTCTTCTCTCATTATGTTTCTCTCTGTCTCATTTCTTTATTTCTTTCTTCTTACCACCAGGAACAAACCAATCAACAAACTGATCTGGGTATGCTTTCTCTCCTCATAAACCTCATTAACTACACACTTTTAACAAATGTGCTTTTCATAGATCATGGCATTTGCGTTATTAGTTTACAGCTTTCTGCGCTTCAAAAGTTCTAACCAGAGGACTTGTCTTCTATGGAGATCATATTTTAGTACTGACTTTATCTAATTCGTCCTTCTTGCTGCATGTGACCAGCTGCAGTTTTACGTGATGGAAAAGAAATACTTCTTCAGGTAAATTTCAATCACTCTGCTCTACACTTTATATTATTTGCTCAGTTCCCTGTCTATAATTGAACAACCTTCGAGACTATGAGCAGCATAGATCATGTCATACTGATGTTATTTCAAACATCAATTCCTCCTTGCTCTTTGAGTTCATTATTTCTTCTTTCCTGTTTGTGTGATCCAACACTGTTATTTAATCGTAAAACTTGATTATCTCAGTACACTAATACTGTCTGCACAAAATCAAACGTATTATTTGGTACTGTGAAGAACTTGCAATGAGTAGAATTAACATTTAACATGTTTTTTTTCAGGGATTCAACTGGGAGTCTCACAGATATAATTGGTGGAATAATTTAGAAACTAAAGTTCCTGACATGGCTAAATCTGGATTTACATCAGTTTGGTTGCCACCACCCTATCATTCGTTTTCACCTGAAGGTTACATCTTAAAATAACCAGACATACAATTTTTAACGTGATAGTGATGTTTTTATCTTTTTCTTCTAACCTCATGCAACTTAATGTCATTTTCTTTTAACTTTTTCTCTAAAACAGGTTACACTCCACAGAATCTTTATTCTCTCAATACTAAATATGGTTCTGAACGTCAGTTAAGAGCTTTGCTTCAGAAGATGAAACAACACCGAGTGAGAGCAATGGCTGACATAGTTATCAATCATCGTACTGGCACCACTCAAGGACATGGAGGAATGTATAATCGTTTTGATGGAATTCCTTTAGGATGGGATGAACGTGCAGTGACATCATGCACCGGAGGACTGGTAAGATAAGTAATTTTTGTTCTAATGTATATATTCTTTTGGTTAGATCTTGATTCTAAAGGTGTGCTTGGTCTTGTTTATTTCAGGGAAATCGAAGCACTGGAGCTGTTTTCCAAGGATTTCCTAACATTGACCATACTCAGGATTTTGTGAGAAAAGATATCATTAACTGGCTTCGCTGGTTGCGTCATGACGTGGGTTTTCAAGATTTTCGATTTGATTTTGCAAAGGGGTAAGACATATTCTATGACACTAGAGTATTGGATTTTCAATGATTTTATTTTCTTTATCGTGTTATATATCTTTTATATAAGTTGTTTATATAGGTTTTCAGCAAAATATGTGAGGGAATACGTCGATGGAGCAAAACCTTTGTTTTCTGTGGGAGAGTATTGGGATACTTGTAACTATAAGGGTTCTTCTTTAGACTATAATCAAGGTATATTTATTGAATCGGAAATAATTTTCATTTAGTTATGAATTTTTTAAAATTTGGATATGTTGTACTTCAAATACACAAATTCTTCAAAACAAAAGCTCTCAAATCTCTATATGCTGCATATACAAAGCAGAATGTTGGTAGCATTGAGCCATTTCAAGACATCACTAAAACAATTGAAAAGTAGTTGTATCTTCTCTGGTTTCTGCTGTACAAGTGCTTCTTCGAAAATTAAATAAATAATATCAAGTAAATATTGGCCATTTTGCTAGTCATATTTTATGTATACTGTTGTCTGTTTAACTATCATATTTGCATTTTGGATTTTGTTATGTATCAATCTTGAACTTGTTACTTATTTTTCATGATTCGCAGATAGTCACAGACAGCGTATAGTCAATTGGATAGATAGTACAGGACAACTTTCAACTGCATTTGATTTTACAACCAAAGGAATTCTTCAGGTATATCATACATTTTGTACTTAGTTCTTAGTTAATCAATCCCCCTGTCTTCTTATATATGGAATAGGTTGATTTCTGCAAAATCAAATTTACCAATTATACTAAACTCACCATACACAACAATTGATCTTCGGGTTTTAATTTGTAGGAAGCTGTGAGAGGAGAGTTTTGGCGGTTACGTGATGCTCAAGGAAAGCCACCTGGTGTGATGGGGTGGTGGCCATCAAGATCTGTCACATTTATTGATAATCATGACACAGGTTCAACACAGGTATAAATTCTTCAAAAATATTGGGAGGCAGCTCAATATGTTAAGTGACATTAAGCCATGGACTCTCACCCAGAGATATCAGTCTTTTGAATTGAATTCTTTTATGGTGCTTAATTCTTAATAATTGGTGTTTCTATTAAGAATTATGTTATCTAAAGACTTAACTCAAGACTTATCTATAAATTGAATAATGAAAAGTGAGTAAAGTAAGGAAAGAAAAACAAAATTTTGTTCTATTACATCTTGTAACTTGTGTTCTTCACTGTGTGCAGGGTCATTGGCCATTCCCGAAAGACCATATTATGGAGGTATTGTTTTTGGCATTAGTATCTTACAAGTATTGCTACTATGTAAATAGTTTGACAGTTTATTTCTACATCATTTATTTGTTTGTTCTTCCACTGCTACACTTGACATNCTCTTCTCTTCTCTTCTCTTGTGCGTTTCTCTCTTCTCTTCTTCTTCTTCTCATTTCTATTTTCTTTCTCAATAATCGATTCTTCCTTACTCTTCCTGCAGATATCTTCCTTCTTTGTCAATTCCTTGATCCAACAATCTTAACATGGGCTACTTGAAGGTTCCTTCTATGCTATACCATTCTCTTTCTCTCTAGCTTTCTTCTCTCATTATGTTTCTCTCTGTCTCATTTCTTTATTTCTTTCTTCTTACCACCAGGAACAAACCAATCAACAAACTGATCTGGGTATGCTTTCTCTCCTCATAAACCTCATTAACTACACACTTTTAACAAATGTGCTTTTCATAGATCATGGCATTTGCGTTATTAGTTTACAGCTTTCTGCGCTTCAAAAGTTCTAACCAGAGGACTTGTCTTCTATGGAGATCATATTTTAGTACTGACTTTATCTAATTCGTCCTTCTTGCTGCATGTGTCCAGCTGCAGTTTTACGTGATGGAAAAGAAATACTTCTTCAGGTAAATTTCAATCACTCTGCTCTACACTTTATATTATTTGCTCAGTTCCCTGTCTATAATTGAACAACCTTCGAGACTATGAGCAGCATAGATCATGTCATACTGATGTTATTTCAAACATCAATTCCTCCTTGCTCTTTGAGTTCATTATTTCTTCTTTCCTGTTTGTGTGATCCAACACTGTTATTTAATCGTAAAACTTGATTATCTCAGTACACTAATACTGTCTGCACAAAATCAAACGTATTATTTGGTACTGTGAAGAACTTGCAATGAGTAGAATTAACATTTAACATGTTTTTTTTCAGGGATTCAACTGGGAGTCTCACAGATATAATTGGTGGAATAATTTAGAAACTAAAGTTCCTGACATGGCTAAATCTGGATTTACATCAGTTTGGTTGCCACCACCCTATCATTCATTTTCACCTGAAGGTTACATCTTAAAATAACCAGACATACAATTTTTAACGTGATAGTGATGTTTTTATCTTTTTCTTCTAACCTCATGCAACTTAATGTCATTTTCTTTTAACTTTTTCTCTAAAACAGGTTACACTCCACAGAATCTTTATTCTCTCAATACTAAATATGGTTCTGAACGTCAGTTAAGAGCTTTGCTTCAGAAGATGAAACAATACCGAGTGAGAGCAATGGCTGACATAGTTATCAATCATCGTACTGGCACCACTCAAGGACATGGAGGAATGTATAATCGTTTTGATGGAATTCCTTTAGGATGGGATGAACGTGCAGTGACATCATGCACCGGAGGACTGGTAAGATAAGTAATTTTTGTTCTAATGTATATATTCTTTTGGTTAGATCTTGATTCTAAAGGTGTGCTTGGTCTTGTTTATTTCAGGGAAATCGAAGCACTGGAGCTGTTTTCCAAGGATTTCCTAACATTGACCATACTCAGGATTTTGTGAGAAAAGATATCATTAACTGGCTTCGCTGGTTGCGTCATGACGTGGGTTTTCAAGATTTTCGATTTGATTTTGCAAAGGGGTAAGACATATTCTATGACATTAGAGTATTGGATTTTCAATGATTTTATTTTCTTTATCGTGTTATATATCTTTTATATAAGTTGTTTATATAGGTTTTCAGTAAAATATGTGAGGGAATACGTCGATGGAGCAAAACCTTTGTTTTCTGTTGGAGAGTATTGGGATACTTGTAACTATAAGGGTTCTTCTTTAGACTATAATCAAGGTATATTTATTGAATCGGAAATAATTTTCATTTAGTTATGAATTTTTTATAATTTGGATATGTTGTACTTCAAATACACAAATTCTTCAAAACAAAAGCTCTCAAATCTCTATATGCTGCATATACAAAGCAGAATGTTGGTAGCATTGAGCCATTTCAAGACATCACTAAAACAATTGAAAAGTAGTTGTATCTTCTCTGGTTTCTGCTGTACAAGTGCTTCTTCGAAAATTAAATAAATAATATCAAGTAAATATTGGCCATTTTGCTAGTCATATTTTATGTATACTGTTGTCTGTTTAACTATCATATTTGCATTTTGGATTTTGTTATGTATCAATCTTGAACTTGTTACTTATTTTTCATGATTCGCAGATTGTCACAGACAGCGTATAGTCAATTGGATAGATAGTACTGGACAACTTTCAACTGCATTTGATTTTACAACCAAAGGAATTCTTCAGGTATATCATACATTTTGTACTTAGTTCTTAGTTAATCAATCCCCTTGTCTTCTTATATATGGAATATGTTGATTTCTGCAAAATCAAATTTACCAATTATACTAAACTCACCATACACAACAATTGATTTTCGGGTTTTAATTTGTAGGAAGCTGTGAGAGGAGAGTTTTGGCGGTTACGTGATGCTCAAGGAAAGCCACCTGGTGTGATGGGGTGGTGGCCATCAAGATCTGTCACATTTATTGATAATCATGACACAGGTTCAACACAGGTATAAATTNCATGTGCAAAACAGCAGATAAAGAAAATCCATGAGCAGAACATAGAACATAAGAAAGAAACTGGTAGAAGGTAAGAGATAAAGAAGAAAGCACACGAGGACCATTAGAAAGTTAGGAAAGATAAGAAATATTTGAAGGATAATATACTTTTTACGACATTTTTTTTATAACATTTTAACATTTTTTTATAACATTTTACGTGTCATTCTGTGATTGGTCTAAAATTATTTCATAATCAATAATAATAATCATAAATACTAACATGGACTAATTACAGAGTGATACGTAAATGTTGTTAAAATATTGTAAAAAAGATGTTATCAAAATATCATCATTCATATTTGAATATGTTCTAAGAACAATTGTAGGTAACTTAGGGTCATGTTTAACAGTTTTACTTTAAGCAATTTTAATGGAAAAATAAATTTTGTATGTATTTTAATTTTTTTAATATTCATTCGATATTATTTTTTACTTTTTTAATTTTTTTAAAATATATTAAAAATTACACTTTTATAATTATTTTATTTAATATATTGTGTGAAATGAATATAAAAATATATAATGATACTTTTATTTATGGAATGAAATGAAAAAGTATAAATGAGTGGAAGTTAAAGATAACACAAATGATATTTTAGTTTAATTATATAAAAATTGATATAATTTTTTATCCAAAATATTAAATTAATAAGTCAATGAATATTTACCTAATATTTAATTTTTTCATTTTATTAATTGGACTTATAATTAAAATTCTTATTTTTAACAGTTTTACTTTAGAATTCTCATGTTTAACAGTTTTACTTTAAGCATTTTTGATTGAAATGAAACGAAGAAGTATAACTGAGTGGAAGAAGTTAAAGACGAAGGAGAGTCCCAAGTTGTGAGGCTGTCGAACCTGAAAGGCTTATTTTGACGTCATGTAGCTCTCTAAGTTGATAGTTTAAAAGAGGACAGCATGTGAATGAGATAAATCTCATTTCCTTAAGTTTGTTTGTATCTGATAATAGTGACAAAATAAAATAAACTAAACACCTTGTCCTGTTTTGGCAAACTCTTACCCCCAGATTCCGTTAACGGGTTTTCAACTTCTTAAAACAGGACACGAGGGTCTGGTTCTAGATTTGTTTGGACTTTCTGCACATCAGAGCTACTGCTTCTGCCTTTTTCGGACTTTCTACACATCACAGTTTTTTTTTTTATTTATTTATTTTAATCATTAAACAAAACATGGATTCTGATTAGAGGATACTGTGCATTGTATGAAAATGTAGGATTGGTGATGTAAAAAAAAAAAGATGCAGTTAATTTTTGAGCAGAATAAGTTGTGTGGTGGTGGTGGTGGTAGAAGAAGAAGAAGAAGGAAAGCAATGCAGGGTTTGAGAAATCATTTTCAGAAGCATATATTAATTGATTGGTGGTGGTGGTTGTAGCTTGCGATCTAAGCTGTGTAGATTGAAGCGGAGAAGAGACGGCTCTAGAAATAATTGAAACTTGTTGAAATGAAATGCTAGCGTTGAATTCCCCATGCCTCTCTATTCAGCCAATTGGGTGCACATTGAATATGAATTTTGGCTTAAAAGCAGATTCCCCTTTATCCTCACGTTCCAAATTCCCGGCTAATGTCATCTCTGATTCTAATTCCACTGATTTTTTTATCCCTTTTTCCCTCCCTACTAATACCAATGCCTCACTCCCTCTTTCCTTCAGATCAATCTTCTCTTCTCTTCTCTTCTCTTGTGCGTTTCTCTCTTCTCTTCTTCTTCTTCTCATTTCTATTTTCTTTCTCAATAATCGATTCTTCCTTACTCTTCCTGCAGATATCTTCCTTCTTTGTCAATTCCTTGATCCAACAATCTTAACATGGGCTACTTGAAGGTTCCTTCTATGCTATACCATTCTCTTTCTCTCTAGCTTTCTTCTCTCATTATGTTTCTCTCTGTCTCATTTCTTTATTTCTTTCTTCTTACCACCAGGAACAAACCAATCAACAAACTGATCTGGGTATGCTTTCTCTCCTCATAAACCTCATTAACTACACACTTTTAACAAATGTGCTTTTCATAGATCATGGCATTTGCGTTATTAGTTTACAGCTTTCTGCGCTTCAAAAGTTCTAACCAGAGGACTTGTCTTCTATGGAGATCATATTTTAGTACTGACTTTATCTAATTCGTCCTTCTTGCTGCATGTGACCAGCTGCAGTTTTACGTGATGGAAAAGAAATACTTCTTCAGGTAAATTTCAATCACTCTGCTCTACACTTTATATTATTTGCTCAGTTCCCTGTCTATAATTGAACAACCTTCGAGACTATGAGCAGCATAGATCATGTCATACTGATGTTATTTCAAACATCAATTCCTCCTTGCTCTTTGAGTTCATTATTTCTTCTTTCCTGTTTGTGTGATCCAACACTGTTATTTAATCGTAAAACTTGATTATCTCAGTACACTAATACTGTCTGCACAAAATCAAACGTATTATTTGGTACTGTGAAGAACTTGCAATGAGTAGAATTAACATTTAACATGTTTTTTTTCAGGGATTCAACTGGGAGTCTCACAGATATAATTGGTGGAATAATTTAGAAACTAAAGTTCCTGACATGGCTAAATCTGGATTTACATCAGTTTGGTTGCCACCACCCTATCATTCATTTTCACCTGAAGGTTACATCTTAAAATAACCAGACATACAATTTTTAACGTGATAGTGATGTTTTTATCTTTTTCTTCTAACCTCATGCAACTTAATGTCATTTTCTTTTAACTTTTTCTCTAAAACAGGTTACACTCCACAGAATCTTTATTCTCTCAATACTAAATATGGTTCTGAACGTCAGTTAAGAGCTTTGCTTCAGAAGATGAAACAACACCGAGTGAGAGCAATGGCTGACATAGTTATCAATCATCGTACTGGCACCACTCAAGGACATGGAGGAATGTATAATCGTTTTGATGGAATTCCTTTAGGATGGGATGAACGTGCAGTGACATCATGCACCGGAGGACTGGTAAGATAAGTAATTTTTGTTCTAATGTATATATTCTTTTGGTTAGATCTTGATTCTAAAGGTGTGCTTGGTCTTGTTTATTTCAGGGAAATCGAAGCACTGGAGCTGTTTTCCAAGGATTTCCTAACATTGACCATACTCAGGATTTTGTGAGAAAAGATATCATTAACTGGCTTCGCTGGTTGCGTCATGACGTGGGTTTTCAAGATTTTCGATTTGATTTTGCAAAGGGGTAAGACATATTCTATGACACTAGAGTATTGGATTTTCAATGATTTTATTTTCTTTATCGTGTTATATATCTTTTATATAAGTTGTTTATATAGGTTTTCAGCAAAATATGTGAGGGAATACGTCGATGGAGCAAAACCTTTGTTTTCTGTGGGAGAGTATTGGGATACTTGTAACTATAAGGGTTCTTCTTTAGACTATAATCAAGGTATATTTATTGAATCGGAAATAATTTTCATTTAGTTATGAATTTTTTAAAATTTGGATATGTTGTACTTCAAATACACAAATTCTTCAAAACAAAAGCTCTCAAATCTCTATATGCTGCATATACAAAGCAGAATGTTGGTAGCATTGAGCCATTTCAAGACATCACTAAAACAATTGAAAAGTAGTTGTATCTTCTCTGGTTTCTGCTGTACAAGTGCTTCTTCGAAAATTAAATAAATAATATCAAGTAAATATTGGCCATTTTGCTAGTCATATTTTATGTATACTGTTGTCTGTTTAACTATCATATTTGCATTTTGGATTTTGTTATGTATCAATCTTGAACTTGTTACTTATTTTTCATGATTCGCAGATAGTCACAGACAGCGTATAGTCAATTGGATAGATAGTACAGGACAACTTTCAACTGCATTTGATTTTACAACCAAAGGAATTCTTCAGGTATATCATACATTTTGTACTTAGTTCTTAGTTAATCAATCCCCCTGTCTTCTTATATATGGAATAGGTTGATTTCTGCAAAATCAAATTTACCAATTATACTAAACTCACCATACACAACAATTGATCTTCGGGTTTTAATTTGTAGGAAGCTGTGAGAGGAGAGTTTTGGCGGTTACGTGATGCTCAAGGAAAGCCACCTGGTGTGATGGGGTGGTGGCCATCAAGATCTGTCACATTTATTGATAATCATGACACAGGTTCAACACAGGTATAAATTCTTCAAAAATATTGGGAGGCAGCTCAATATGTTAAGTGACATTAAGCCATGGACTCTCACCCAGAGATATCAGTCTTTTGAATTGAATTCTTTTATGGTGCTTAATTCTTAATAATTGGTGTTTCTATTAAGAATTATGTTATCTAAAGACTTAACTCAAGACTTATCTATAAATTGAATAATGAAAAGTGAGTAAAGTAAGGAAAGAAAAACAAAATTTTGTTCTATTACATCTTGTAACTTGTGTTCTTCACTGTGTGCAGGGTCATTGGCCATTCCCGAAAGACCATATTATGGAGGTATTGTTTTTGGCATTAGTATCTTACAAGTATTGCTACTATGTAAATAGTTTGACAGTTTATTTCTACATCATTTATTTGTTTGTTCTTCCACTGCTACACTTGACATTCTTAAAGCTATTTATCTGTTTTTCTGTCAAAGAGAAAAATTTAGTAAAATTTCAAGCATGTTGATTTTTCTCCTTTTACAAAAGAATATCCAATGCATGCAATTCTCCCTATCATTCAAAACTACACAATGCACCTTATTACACAAATATCCTCTCTTCTTAAAAAGTAATAGTCAGATTTTGAACTAGAGTCGTTGAACTCCATAAATACATGGAAATGCCTTTATGCCTTCTTCTTAGTATTAGATTGTTTTGAAACAAGTTGATGTGAATTGGAGTTATACACTAACAAAATATGTTTTAAACAAATTCATATATCTAGAATAGTTAGATTTAAACTCTTCTGTTTTATGACAGGGATACGCATATATATTGACTCATCCTGGAATACCAACAGTTTTTTACGATCACTTTTATGACTGGGGCAACTCAATTCGGGACCAGATTGTGAAATTGGTATATAAAATGACAGTACTAGAAAACTAGCTATGTTTCTTTTGTTTTACAAAGGAAGATATGTAACAAATTTAAATTGAAACTGCAGATTGACATTCGAAAGCGTCATGGTATTCAAAGTAGATCACCTGTGAGGATTGTGGAGGCCAAACACGATGTCTACTCTGCAATCATCGGCGAAAAATTATGCATGAAAATTGGATATGGTTCATGGTGTCCCTCTGGGAGGGAATGGACACTATCAACTTCTGGCCACAATTACGCAGTGTGGCATAAATAGGAAATTAAGTGCTTCTAGTCTTCCTAAATGGAAGCTTTACTCCTTCAAATTATGATTAATAGCCTTTTCCAGTATTTTAATTATCAAACTATGTCAATAGCTGCTTTCTTTATGTAATATATGTAAAAACAAAAATAAGCAGCTCTGATTATGTCATATATAAAATAAGTGAATAACGATAAATTTATATGGGTACCTGTTATCAGTGTGATCTGGTTAAGTATCATTTTTATAAATATCGCATTCGTGTATACAAACTTTTAAATAATGTTTATGAAAATAATATATCTGAAGAGAAACAATTACTACTGAATATATTCAGAATAAATAATTAAATTTACGAAATCAAGATGGGATGTCACCTAGGAAACCACGTGATATGGTAAAAAAGTTGTAAAATTTGGATAGTCAACACATAGTTTTGTATAAGTTTAAGCTTGTTCCATTTGTACAGTAAGGTAAGATGGTAAAAGACAAGGAGTTACCACATTAAAAAAACATATATAACAGGCTAAGATCAATGACTTGTGATTTGATAGAGAACTGGGAGTGTCGTATACTGATTGTACTGGAGAGGCAGATATATATGTGGTACACGTGAGGAGGATTTGAAGAAAAACTTTGAATAGCAGGGAAAGACTGAAATTGAAATTGTTGAAAGATTTAGTTTATGTGTAGATCTTAAGCATTGGAATATATAGATCGATAATAATAAGCAGCACATGGTTGCAGGAAATGGTTGAGGTTTTTTGTTTGGTTTCTCTTTTTTACAATAATCTAGCTTTACATGTCTTACCAGATACGGAGAGAGATAGCAACAGAGAGTCACATGGAGTTGTGGCTGGAAAGGGACTCACACACATCAACATCACCATCAAATACAAAATTAGTCATACATTTCATCATTTAGTTTTTGAAACCCACTTCAATATTATACAGCTACGTTTATTTCCTACCATAGATTTGTGTCCCCACTTTGACTACAATATTATAATTCCTATGTCTATTCTTTTACACATCTTTTATATAATGCTCTCTTATAATTATATTTAACAAATTTCAGAACTATAATTCTTCGAGTTTTAGCTGGCTGAAACATTATCTATTATCCATTGTGTACCATATATACCTATCGCTATATGTTTTCCGGTCTGTTAACTACACAGAAAGTTAATTTTAGAAATTTCTTTATACTACCAACCGAACGCTCACTGACGATTTTGTAACCGTTTCGTCTATAGTATATTAAAGATTTCATAATTTGATTAACAAAGTACAAAACATGTTTAGAAGTTATTGGATCGTGATTGGATGAATCTTAATCAAAAATCTATTTTGAAATCTATAATTTAAGACTTAACTGTGATAACCTACTGTTAATTGAAAATTAACTTAAACGTTCAAATAGTTTTAGCTTTACTTGTCGCTCGAATTTGGAAAGAAAAAATCGACAAGAGTGTAAAAAAAGTAGAGTGAAAATAATTGAAACAATTGGTTTAAAGTGTGAAATTGAACTTCTCAATCCCATATCCTGAAACACATTGTATGCAAAATGGTGGAAAGTGGAATGTGATAATCAATGTGTTCATCTCATTCAGCAGCACTAACCAGAAACATGTGATGGATGAAGCACTTGGATATACCAATCGGAGCATAATGATGAAGACGGTGGACTCTTTCTGCCTTCTAGGGTTCCCCACTTAACATCACTTTACTTTTCAACAGTTGGTCAATCAAATCTGCATAAATACCCTAAGGACCCGTTTAAGTCAGTGTTTTCCATTATGTTTTGTTTTCCGTGTTATAAAAGTTAAAACTTGTTGGTGCATCATAGCATGTAGCATAACAAAGTATAGTAAAAGATAAACATCCTTTTTCCCTTCTGTGCTTTGTGCCAACTTTACACATATATGTACATCCATATATTACACACAATTCCTTTCCACTGCCTTTACAAAAGCTTTCCAATTAACGAACAACCCCATAACTTTTAAAGATGAAAACAACTTCAAAGTAGCTTCTTTTACGGATTTTGTAATAAAGAATGCTTTCTTCTTAATAAAATATCTTCCTTGTGTGAAATCTTGAAACGAAACTCATCTGGGCAATCGGGCTTTCGTTTCTTGTTTAAGTCTTACTGCATTATAATTCTTACATAACAGAAAGCTTGAAAAATACGTAATTAAGGTTCATCTTCTTTTTTCTTTTGGCACATCATTGTTGTGGGGGATGATGAGTTCAATTTTATATGAAGACAAGAAATTAGTTGTATAATAATGGGCGTTTTGAATTGGTGGGTAGTATGTAGGAAAAGTGCTGGCATGCATGGGAGGGAGAAAAAAAGATGGATTATGAGATCTGGTCTTTAGTTTGTGACAGCTTTTTGAACACCTTTTCTCCGCGTTGGATGCTGCCTGTATGATTGGTGAATAATATATCCTCCTACTACATAGGTCACTGCCCAGTACATGCTTAGCATGGCAACTTTATACTAAAATCATTCACTAATATTATCTAACATCATCTTCTTCTCTTAGATATCAACACTACCATGTGTATCAACTATCAAATTCAACTTTAATGTACATAGCAATAATAATATATTAAGTATTACAAAATGAAATCAAATTATATTTGAGTAAAAATATTTTTTTCTTCAAACAATTTTGCGTCTTGGGAAACCCACGTCTATATATTATTAGACGTCGAAAACTCCTCTAACCAACATTTAAAGAGTACTTTTATTTATAAAAATGTCAAGATTTTGTTTAGACGATTTTGTTCAGTTAGACGTTAGACGTTAGACGTTAGACGTTAGACGTTAGACGTTAGACGTTAGACGTTAGACGTTAGACGTTAGACGTTAGACGTTAGACGTTAGACGTTAGACGTTAGACGTTAGACGTTAGACGTTAGACGTTAGACGTTAGACGTTAGACGTTAGACGTTAGACGTTAGACGTTAGACGTTAGACGTTAGACGTTAGACGTTAGACGTTAGACGTTAGACGTTAGACGTTAGACGTTAGACGTTAGACGTTAGACGTTAGACGTTAGACGTTAGACGTTAGACGTTAGACGTTAGACGTTAGACGTTAGACGTTAGACGTTAGACGTTAGACGTTAGACGTTAGACGTTAGACGTTAGACGTTAGACGTTAGACGTTAGACGTTAGACGTTAGACGTTAGACGTTAGACGTTAGACGTTAGACGTTAGACGTTAGACGTTAGACGTTAGACGTTAGACGTTAGACGTTAGACGTTAGACGTTAGACGTGTGACGTTAAATATATGATTTTAAACGTGTGACGTTAAATACTATTTTTGGAATCTTCTAATCTAAATTATTTTTATTTTCAATCCAAAGATATTGATGGGTTTTTGAAAGTAAAAGGCAGGAAAATGTAGACAGTGATTTAAGGGTTGGATGGGTAGCCATAAATGAAGGAAGGAAAATGAGTTGGTCTCATAAATGCTTGGCATATATAGAAATGCCACCACTCGTATCCAATTGTTGTCTGTCGTTTTTTCATCTTTGTTGTTCAATTCATAAAAAGGTTGGACCACTCCTATTTTGGTTCTCAGCTTAAGTAAACATATTTGTAAACCTTTTCACCATTTTATACGCCTTAATAATGCTTGCATGTGTTCCTACTACCAAAAATACTTCGTAAAATTTAAAAAGAAACACTCGTTTTATTTAATTATATAAAGAAATTGTGTATTGTTTTGTGATTTTAAATCACAAATTAGCAAACATTATCCAACGAATCACGACATGAGAATAACGAAATCAAAAGATAGAAATTGAATAACAAAAGGAAAATTTCCAAAAGAGCTTCCTACTTCAAGTTTGTCAGGCCATTTTTTTTTACTTTTAAATAACTAGAGTAACTAATTTCCTTTTTTATTAGGATTGTATATAATGAAATATATATATATAAGGAAAAGATAATCATGAAATATTTGATAATCAACTCTCATAATTCAATATTTACAAAAACTATTTTGAAACAGTGGATTTGTGCTCATAAAATCAATCCTATTAATGTTAAAAGAATGTTTGGTGAACAATAATGACTTTTCAAATTTTCTAATTACTAATAGAAAAAAGGTCAATCTTGTAAATATATGTTGAATCTATCTCATACCGATATAATTCTCTTGACTTTTATTGGTAAGAGACAAAGAAAAAAAAGGTTGACCATTCGTAGGATCGGTATATTGTTATACTACCCAATTGGTATATATAATAGAAGGCTTATTTACTGGAAGAATAATATGGAATATAAAATATTATACATAAATATTATGTTTTGACGTTGAATAAAAGTTATAACAAACTTAAACAGTAATTAATTCATCAATTTTGAGGTTTTTGGTTTCAACAACACATCTCTCACGTACATATTCAACTTATAATTAAACATTAATTAATTAATAAGTAGTATAATAATAATTTAATAGTAGATAAATTTAAACAAATAATATATTTTACTAAAATAAATATTAACTCAACTTTAATATGATATTAAAGATGATTTTAAATTTAACTCAATTTCATAAAAATTAATTTATAAAATAAAATTTATATTCATTTAATATACTATAATTTACTTTATGTGAAACTTTGAATACAATTTTTCAAAAGCTATTAACGAATTTCTATTTTTTTTTCAAATAAAAACAAATCTAACCGTTTCTCCTTTCCCCTTTGTATGAGCTCAAACGTTAAATTAACTTTTTGTAGAAAAAATAACAGAACTAGAGAAGTTTAAATATTATAAAAAAATTACTCTAAAACATATTGTAACTGTGACATGATTTATCTAAGTGTTGAATCTATTTTCGTTTTCTTTCATACCAAAAAAAAATTCTTAACTACAGCAATACAAGTGTGAATAATCATTCATACATTGGAAATCACAAAAGCGAAAAAAAAAATACTATGATTATTTCACCAGTCATATTAGTGTTACATCAAATATAAGTATTCAAAGTTTATATTTGAAAACATGTTTGAATGTTAAATTATTGTACTCGATATTTTAACAATTTTTTCACAGGTC